AGAAATAAATAACATCAAGAAAATGGGGAAATTCATGAATACGTGGAAACTAAGCAGCACAATCTTTTTAAAAAATATTTTTATTTATTCATTCATGTACTTTCTACACCCAACGTGGGGCTCAAACTCACAACCCCAAGATCAAGAGTCACCTGCTCTTTTGACCAAGGCAGCCAGGTACCCCTAAATAGTATGGTTTTGAACAACCATTGGGTGAGAGAGGACATCCAAAGGGAATTTTAAAGTATCTTGAGAAAAACAAAAATTGTGTCGTCTGCAGATGACACAATCATATACATAGGAAAACTGAAAGAATTAACAAATTTTTAAGCTTTAATTTTAATTCCAATGTAGTTAAAATACAGTGTTATATTAGTTTCATTGATACAATATAGTGATTCAACACCTCCATACATCACCCAGTGCTCATTATCACAGGTGCCTCCCTTAAGCCCCTTCACCTACTTAACCCATTTCCCAACCATCTCCCCTCTGGTAACTATCAATTTGTTCTCTATGTAGTTAAGAGTCTGTTTCTTGATTTCTCTCTCACTTTTTTCCTTTGTTTCTTTGTTTTGTTTCTTAAATTCAACATATGAATGAAATTATATGGTATTTGTCTTTCTCTGACTAAATTATTTAGCTTAGCATTATACTCTCTAGCTCCCTCCATATTGTTGCGATGGCAAGATTTCATTTTTTAATGAGTGAATAATATTCCATTTTTCATTCTTATCCATTCTTCTATTGATGGGCACTTGAAGCCTCAACAAAATTGTTAGAACTAATAAATGGATTCTGTAAAGTTGCAGAATGCAAAATCAACATACAACAATCTACCAGGTTTATAATAATAAACAATGAACTAATTTTTTGTATATTTTTATTGGGATTCGATTTGCCAACATATAGTATAACACCCACTGCTCATCTCATCAAGTGCCCCCCTCAGTGCCTGTCACCCAGTCACCCCAACCCCCACCCACCTCCTCTTTCACTACCCCTTGTTTGTTTCCCAGAGTTAGGAGTCTCTCATATTTTGTCATGATTTTTCCCACTCATTTTCTCTCTTTTTCCCTATCATCTCTTTCACTATTTTTTTATATTCCCCATATGAGTAACCATATACTGGTATCCCTCTCTGGTTGACTTACTTCACTCAGCATAATACCCTCCAGTTCTATCCACATTGAAGCAAATGTTGGGTATTCGTCATTTCTAAAGGCTGAGTAATATTCCATTGTATATATAGACCACAGCTTCTTTATCCATTCATATTTTGATGGACACCGGGACTCCTTCCACAGTTTGGCTATTGTGGATTTTACTGCTATAAACACTGAGGTGCAGGTGTCTTGGTTTTTCACTACATCTGTATCTTTGGGGTAAATACCCAGTAGTGCAATTGCTGAGCCATAAGGTAGCTCTACTTTTAACTCTTTGAGGAACCTCCACACAGTTTTCCAGAGTGGCTTACCACTTCACATTCCCACCATCAGTGCGAGAGGGTTCTGCTTTCTCCACATCCACTCCAACATTTGTTGTTTCCCATCTTGTTAATTTTCACCATTCTCACTGGTGTGAGGTGGGATCTCATAGTAGATTTGATTTGTATTTCCCTGATGGCAAGTGATGCAGAGCATTTTCTCATGGGCTTGTTAGCCATGTGCATGTCTTCTTTGGTGAAATTTCTGTTCATATCTTTGCCCAATTCATGATTTTAAAATGGGCAAGGGATCTATATAGACATTTTTCCAAAGACATAAAAATGGTTAACAAGTACATGAAAAGGTGTTCAACATCACTAATCATCACTAATGCAAATCAAAACCACAAAGATATTTTATCTATTTTACCCATCCCCGTGATGGGTATTAAAGATTGCACTTTAATTGCACTTTTTTCTAGTGATGAGCACTGGATGATGTATAGAATTGTTGAATCACTATATTATATACCTGAAACTAATATAACACTGTATATCAACTACACTGGAATTTTTAGAAAAGCACAGATAATATATCATCTCAACTCAGAGTAGCTATTATCAAAAAGACAAGATAACAAATGTGGGTGAAGTTAGGGAGGAAAGGAAACCCTTATGTACTGTTAGTGAGAATGTAAGTTGATGCAGTCACTATGGAAAACAGTATAGATATTCCTCAAAAATTGTTAAATAGAACTATCCTGTGTTCCAGCATTTCCACTACTGGATATATAGCCAAAGGAAATGAAATTGAGATCTCGAAGAGATATCAGTGTTCCCATATTTATTTCAGCATTATATACAATAGCCAAAATATGGAAACAACCTAAATGTCCCTCAAAAGATGAATGGATAAAGAATACACACACACACACATACACACATACACACACACACACAATGGAATATTATTCAGCCTTTTAAAAAGGAGGAAATTCAGGGCACCTGTGGTGGTGCAGTCAGTTAAGCATTGGACTCTTGGTTTCAGCTCAGGTTATGATCTCAGAGTCGTGAGATCTTAATACTTAAGAGATCTTAAGACTCTCTCTTCTTCTCCCTCTGCCCCTCCCCCTCTTGTTTGCTCGCTTTCTCTCTAAAATAAATAAATCTTTAAAAAAATAAAGAGAGGAAATTCTGCCAGTTGCAACAACATGGATGAACCTGGAGTACATTATTTTAAATTAAATAAGCGAAACACAGGCAAATACTGCATGATCTCACTTATATGTGAAATCTAAAATAGTCAAACTTTGGGCACCTGGGTGGCTCAGTAGGTTAAGCATCTGCCTTTGACTCAGGTCATGATCCTGGGGTCCTGATATTGAGCCCCTGCTCCCTGACCAGCACTGTCTGTATCTGTGGTGGCAGGGGCAGCACCTCTGGCCTCTGAGCCACCCTCAGCATCTCTGCTGACCTCTGAGCCCCCTTGGAGTCATTTTTCCATTTTGTTGAAGAATACACATGTTCACAGCCCAGTAGCTCTATCAACCTGTTTTCTGCCTATAGAATCTCCAAAGTCTGAGAGTCTTTCTTCATTTGGTTCTATGTCTGACCCTTCAGTACAAGCTAGCAATGTTTCTGCTGAGATGTTTATTGGATCCATGTGTCACACATCTAATCCCTCCAGCAAACTGAGTGCCACACTCTGTCCAGCCACACTCTGAGTGCTCTCTCCAGATCACATTTTCTCATGTTTTGCAATATATGTAGACTAATAATTTCCCAGATCTTCAAATTCTGGTGACTTTTTGCTAATAGTTCTGGAATGGACTGAACCTTACACATTGTAGGAGAGCTCACTTGTCACTCTGCAATGAAATGATATGTTTTGGAAGTTGTCTCCTCCACTAGACTATGAGCTCCCTGGAGGCAAGAAATTTGGGTCATTTATCTGTATGGCTCCAGTGCCTTGTATCATAGATGACACAAAGTTGTCTTAGTAACTATTGGAGGAGGAAAGGAGTTTGGAAGGAAGGTAGGAACATACTTGTAGTGTTATAATTTAGTGGCTTGAGAAGTAGAAAGGTGTTCAGAGCTCAGACTGCCAAAGCCAAGAGTTTGTCACTTCCTCAGGACTCTTCACCATCTACTCTGATTTTCTTTTTGCTTTGTCAGGGTCTAAGCATGCAAGAAATATTGCAGTCACAAAGTGATCTCAAATCAGGTGAGCTTTTAGCTCATCAAAGTAGCTTTTCCTCTGGAAGCTTCCTGGTCAATCCAACAGCAGCACATGATCAGCATGACAGAAGGGGGAAGGAGGGATCAGAGTGCCATGTATAGGCTATGGTTCCAATGGCTAATTCCTCTAAATTAATCAAGGCTGAATACTTAACATGCTAGAATCCTCAATAGCTCTCTGTATATATAATGGACCACTGTCAGCTGGCATCAGGGAGAATATATTGTTCTTTTTAAAGTATTGTTAGGCCTTTACAAACCCTACCTATTATAAATATAACCCATTATTTATTGTCAAGAACAAAAAGCTAAATGTGTACACCTATGTCTACACTTGAGAGGAAGGCATAGAGGGGAAAAAATCAAACATTCATAGGAATTAGAGAAAAGGTAGAAGAGTCCCACAGAAAGCACACCCAGAACAAACTTGGCAGTTTTTGATGCCCACCCTTTCCTTTTTCCTTTCAGCCCCCAAACTAGTTGCTGATACACCCTCTGCCTTCCCCACAATCATGAACAGTCAGGCTGTGATAAACAAATGCAGCATTTACAGGCAGGTTAACAATAAATGTCAAATTCAATACCATGAAATAGGACACCAAATAGAATATCATTCCATGAGGGCAGGGACTTTGTCTTATTCATATAGCTCCAATGCCTTAAAAGGTGCTAAACACATAGCAGTTACTCAGTAAACATTTCTTTAACGAACTTTGAATGAATTGAATTGATTAGCCAGGAAACTCCTACAGGTAATCAGAATGTAGCATTCAGGGAAAAAATGCTGGGGCCAAGAAGCCCCTGAGATGAAACAGTTGTCCAAGCAATGCACTAGTCTGCTTACCTGCCAGCAGTAAGGCCAGGAAGGGGAATGTATATCTCCAAGAGATAGTTAAAGCATTCCTTTAACTATCCTTAGCCCAAAGTCAGAGATCCCTGCCTCCTCCCTTTCTTGCCTGGCCAAATGACTTGGTTTATCATGGTATTTCCAACTAACCACCTCCTTTAGCTGTCTACTCAAAGAGAACCAAAGCCAACGCTGACAGAACAAATTTTGCTTAGACTAAACCAATACAGTGGTTTGGCCAAGCAGTATAGAGATCATTGCTCCTGTCTCCAGTTCCAATTGCAGGATCTACATCCCTATTCTTTTTCCCTTTCCAAAACCACTGAGAGAAAAATTGGAGGTGAGAGATTTATTAGGTATTGGCTCCAATATTCAGCCTTCCTCTTCATACCTCTGACATCTAACAGGCCATTTCAGACTTAGTAGCAGATATTCTAATATGTCTCTGTGATTAACTCTCTATTCTCTCTTCTCTTTGACTTATTTTAGATACCTGCAGCAGAAAACAACCCTTTCCTTGTTGGAATGCACTATTGGTACTCCAGTCACAGCCCCAGGACCCAGCACTGCAACGTCTGTCGGGAGAGCATTCCTGCCTTATCTACAAATGTCATCATCTGTGAAGGTACCTTTCTGATTACTTTAGGAAATGGATCCCAGTGGATGGAGATAGGGATGAAGGAGCTCATGTGGCTTTAGCGTCATTGACTCATACTAGGTCATCGACTCTACTGTAAGGTTAATTCTGACACTTAACAGACTGAAGTAAAGAGATGGGAGGAAGCTGGCATGAGGGAAAATTCTCATGATTTAAATGGAGGGTTGGGTCTGAGAGGGTTGGACAACATGATCACAAGAGTTGGAGTAACAGAAATCACCTCATTTTTGCCATCAGTTTCCATTCAAGTCAGATAGCATAAAATTTAGCCAGTAAAAATAAAAAGGAATATTATATATATATATATATATATATATATATATATATATATAATATATAGATAATATAAGAAATAGGCTTTTGGAGATGGATCAGAACTATTTAGATGCTTCTAAATTCTAAGTTTCAGAGAAGCTTAGGGAAGGGCCTTAGAATCTTCACTGTCACCAGATTCACATCCATCTTTTTTCTTCCTTTTTTCATAGTGTGCAAAGTGAAATCTCACAAACTATGTGCTTTGAGAGCAAGTAAAGATTGCAAATGGAATACTTTGTCTATTACTGATGACCTCCTCATGCCCGCAGATGAAGTAGTAAGTACCAGCCATCTTCTCTTAAAGCCACTCTTTCCAATTTCTTTTTTAGCCCGGATACACAGGGGAAGAAGCACTTCTTCCTGTCTCCATACAACCCAAGTAGACTTCCTCACTAGGCCTACAATCCAACCAATCTAGAAGAATGAAAGCCCCCCAATTCCAGCTATCATCACTTGCTAGCATTGGAGTGGGGAAGGCAGGACCACGAAGAACCTAAATGTCCTCCATGGGGTAGTATAGTTACTCCAGCTGGCCCTTTCTCTCCTTATATCTTTAACTTCTACATCTTATCTTTTTTTTTTTACCCTTCAGAAAACTATGCCTCATCAATGGGTAGAAGGAAACATATCTGTCAGTTCTCAGTGTGCAGTATGTCATGAAAACTGTGGCAGTTACCAAAGACTTCAAGACTTCCGATGTCTCTGGTGTAATTCTACGGTAAGACTCTTCTCATCTCTTTGATACTTAGAGAACTTAACTTCTAGAGAAGGGGTGGAGTTAAACTATGTGCCTACACATAAATAGAAATCTCAGAGATCCTTGCTCCAAAATAGATTATGCAGATTACATAGTATAGAGCTCAGTATCTTGCCTTTCCAGATCTGGCTATGGAGTCTTAGAGAAAAAGACTTGACTCTCATCTTTAATGGTTCTTAATTGGCGAAGTCTACTAGCAAATGGGAAAAGCTGAATTCTGTTATAACAGTATAGGCAATTAAAAAATTAAATTCTGAGTCTACCCTAAGAAAACTTCTCCCTTTCTTATTCACTATTTCCTGGGAACTTGTAATCTTTGCTAATTAATAATGGTTAATATTAACACCATTACTATTGCCACAATGTATAAAGTGTTTTGTATATGTGGTCTCATTTAATCCTTACAACAAACTAGGCCTCATTGTCCCCATTTACAGATGAAAAAAGTAAGATGATTTGCTCCAGGTCATGCAGCCAGTAAGTAGAAAGAGTCTTGATTCATACATAATTCTGCAAAAGCTGTATTTTTAACTACAATACTACCATGCTTCTAAACCATAGTTCTTAACTGGGAGTGATTTTTGCCCAACCCATAGGAAACATTTAACAATATCTGGAGACATTTTTTATTGTTACAACTTGGGGAGAGAGGGTGTGCTATGGGATTATAGTAAGTAGAGGCCTGAGATTCTGCTAAACCTCCTATAATGCATAAGACAGCACCAAATAACTATCTGGACCAAATTATCAATAGTACCAAGGTTGAGAAACTCTGATTTAGACCTTAACTTTTATTTTTTTCAAAGATTTTATTCATGTATTTGAGACAGAGGGAGAGTAAGAGGTAGGGGCAGAAAGAGAGGGAGAAGCAGAATCCCTGCCAAGCAGGAACCCCCGACATGGGGCTTGCTTCCAGAACCCTGGGATCATGACCTGAGCTGAAGGCAGATGCTTACCCGACTGAACCATTCAGGTGCTCCTAGACTTTAACTTTTATATGCTCCTGTCAAACTGATTATTCTAGACAAGAAGAAACTGGAGTATGAGCTTCCTTTTAGAAGACTTTGGGTCCTTCTACTTTGCTCATCAGTTTCTCCTGGAAAGGAGCTTGGACCCTCATCAGGCACCCCAATTTTTGCAGCTGTCCCCAGGGGATATCTCTAGATCACACAGATCTGGTGGCCAGTGAGTATAGGTCCCAAGAACTGTAACCAATGGAGAGAGAGTTCTTACCTAGCTACCACACCGAGGATACAGCAAGAGGCAACAGTATGAGGAATCCAGTGTTACTGTAAAGAGGACTCTTAGCATGTCTTCAAAATTATGGCCTTAAGGGCAGGCTTCTAATTAAACACATATCTAAGGGCCCACTGTAGTACTTTTTTTGGAGACCTATGAGGATAGGCACCAACTTGGCGCTATCTTTCTGCAGCATTCCAGAGTGCCAGTATCTCCCAGAGAGGAACTTTTATATGCATCTGCTTTGCCAGTTTTTTGCAACCGCTGCCCAGGTGATGCCCCTTTATTACCTGGATCTACTGGCAAGGAGGGCTTGCATTCCTGGGTCCTATGGGACTGTAACAAGTGGAGAGAGGGTTCCTGGACAAATACCATAAGCAGTGCACAGCACAGACAGCAGACTGAAAAGAGGCCTATTTGTTTGTCCTGGAGTTTCAGACTGAAGGGCAAGCTTCTGGCTTGGCATACATCTAGGACCCTACTATGATGCTCTCTGAGGATGAAAGCCCGTGGATGCCATTTGCACTCTCCTTCTGACTTGCTCTAGGTTACCAGTGCCACCCAAAAAGGAGCTTGCACACTTGTCTAGCACACCAATATTTGCAACTGCCATACAGGGAGCACTTCTAGGTCTCCCAGCTCTGGTGGCCAGTGGGACATATGCCTGTAGTCCCACAGAGCTACATATTTGCATACTTTAAAAGCTGATGTTTAAGGGTCTGGCTTCTAATCACCTGAACTAGATGCTGATTGAAATCCTCCCCTTTGGGACCCTGAAATGTCTTGGCACACCCTCAATTACTGGCAGTCACTGGAAATAAAATAGGCTATTTAGACAATCACAAAAATTTGAGAGACAACCAAAAACTAGGGCAGGGTTCAATAAGGTCCACCCTTGACTGAGAGTAGTGGCTATTTAATTGATAGAAATCAATGCAGAGAGTGAAGGAAAATGAAGAAACAAAAGAATATATTCTAAATAAAAGAACAAGATAATACATCAGAAAAAAGCCCTTAATGAAATGTCTTATCTGGTAGAGTTCAAAATAGGGGCACCTGGGTGGTTCAATCAGTTAAGCATCTGCGTTCAGCTCAGGTCTTGATCCTCAGGGTCCTGGGATTGAGGCCCACATCAAGCTCCCTATTCAGTGAGGACTCTGCTTCTTCCTCTGCCCCTCCCCTGCTTGTACACTCTCACTCTCTCTCAAATAAAGAAATAAAATCCATAGAAAAAAAGAGTTCAAAACAATGACCATAAAGATGCTCATCAAGCTCAGGAGAATGATCACAATGAGAACTTCAACAAAAAGAACATATAAAAATGAAGAAGAAACAAATAAATGGAAAAATAGTCTGTGCTAATGGACTGGAAAAATTAATATTGTTAAGGTGTCCATACTACCCAGTGTAATCTATAGATTTAATGCAGTCTCCATCAAAATTCCAATGGCATTTTTCACAGAACTAGAACAAGTAGGCCCAAAATTTGTATGGAATAAAAAAATCTTGCCATCTGCAAAAACATGGATGGACCTCAGGACATTTTGCTAAGTAATATAAGTCAGAGAAAAACAACTGCCATATGATCTCACTTATATGTGAAATCTTAAAAAAAGAAAAAACCAAGCTCATAGATACAGAGAATAGATTGGTAGTTGCCAACGTGAGGATAGTGTGAAGTGGGTAATGGGAAGTTTATACTAAACTTCCAGCTCTGAAATAATTTATGAGATGTAATGTACAATATGATAACTATAGTTAATCATACTACATTACATATTGGAAAGTTGCTAAGAGAGTAGATCTTAAAAGTTCTCATCACAAGAAAAAGATTCTGTAACTATGTATGGTGACAGAAGTTAACTAGACTTATTGTGATGATTATATCACCATGTGTTTAAATATCAAATTATTATGCTGTACACCTGAAACTAATATAAGGTTGTATGTTGATTATACCTAATAATAAAAGAAGGAAAATATAAGAAAATAGCAAATAGAAGTCACAGAACTGAAGAATACAATAACTGAACTGAAAAATACACTAGAGGGATTCAACATAGACTAGATGAAGCAGAAGAAAAGATCAGTGGATTCAAAGACAGGGTGTAACTCACTCAGACCAGCAAAAGAAAAGAATGAACAAACATGAAGATAGCTAAAGAAACTATAAGACAACATCAAGTGAACCAACATTCTCATTATATGGTTCTCATTATAGAAGGAGAAGATAAAGAAGAGGCAGAAAACTTATTTGAAGAAATAATGGCTGAAAACTTTCCTAACCTGGGAAAGGAAACAGACATCAGATACAGGAAATCCAGAGAGCTGCACATAAAATGAACCTAAGAGGCCCACATAAAGACACATTATAATTAAAATATCAAATGTTAAAGACAAGAAACGAATGTTAAAAGCAAGAAGAGAAAAATAACTTGTCATGATAATGGAACCCCCATAAACTATAGCAGATTTTTTCAGCAAAATTTGCAGGCCAGAAGTAAGTGGAACAATATATTCAAAATGCTGAGAGAAAAAAATCTTCCAGGGGTGCCTGGGTTGCTTAGTCGGTTAAGCGTCTGCCTTCAGCTAAGATCATAGTCCTGGGGTCCTGGGATTAAGCCCCACATCAGGCTCCTTGCTCAGCAGGGAACCTGCTTCTCCCTCTGCCTCTTCCTTCTGCTCATGCTCTCTTTCTCTCTCTAATAAATAAATAAAATATTTTTTAAAAAACTCCCAAATAATACTCTACACAGCACTGTCAATCAGAATGGAAGGAGAGATAGAGTTTTTCAAATAAAAGCTAAACAAGTACATGACCACTCTACTGGCCTTATAAGAAATGTTAAAGGGGTGACATCTGGGTGGCTCATAAGTAGTTAAGAGACCAACGCCTTTTTTATTATTAGTTTCAGAGGTGGAATTTAGTCATTCATCAGCTGCATATAATAGCCGGTGCCCATTACATCAAGTATCCTCCTTAACTCCCATCACCCAATTACCTCTTCTCTCCATTCACCTCCCCTCCAGCAATGCTGTTTGTTTCCTAGATTTAAGAGCCTCTTATGGTTTGCCTCCCTCTCTATTTTCATCTTATTTTATTTTTCCTTCCCTTCCCTTATGTCCATCTGTTTTGTTTCTTAAATTCCACATATGAGTGAAATGATATGGTATTATTTCTTTCTCTGACTGACTTATTTTGCTTAGCATAATACCCTCTAGCTCTATCCATGTTCATGCAGATGGCAAGATTTCATTCTTTTTGACAGCTGAGTAATATTTCATAGTGTATATATCTTTTATCTTTTTTTCCATTCATCTCTTGATGGACATTTGGCTCTTTCCATATTTTGGCTATTGTGAAACATCCAACTGTTGATTTCAGCTCAGGTCATGATCTCAGGGTTGTGAGATTAAACCCCACATCCAGCTCTGTGCTGGGTATAGAGCTTGCTTGAGGTTTTCTCTCTCCCTCTGCCCCTTCTCACCTCTAAAAAAAAAAGCAATGCTAAAGAGACTTCTTTAAGCTGAAATTAAAGGACACTAATTAGTAAGAGGAAAACATATGAAAAATATAAATCTCACAGGTAATGGTAAATATATTGTAAAATTCAGAATAATCTAACTGTAAAGTTGGTAAATTACTTATAAAGCTAGTATGAAGGTTAAAAGACAAGTATTAAAAGCAACTATAGGGATGCCTGGGTAACTCAGTGTTTGAG